CACCTGGGTGGGTCAGTTGGTTAAGCGTCTGCCTTCAGCTCAGGTCATGATCCCGGGATCCTGGGATTGAGCCCCGCATCGGGCTCTCTGCTTGGCCAGGAGCCTGCTTCTCCCTCTCCTTCTGCCTACCGCTCTGCCTACTTGTGCTCTCTCTGTGTCAAATAAATAAATAAAATCTTAAAAAGAATAATTAAAAGTTTTTGGGGCACATGGATGGCTCAGTCAGTTAAGCATCCGACTCTTGATCTCAGCTTGGGTCTTGCTCCTCAGGGTTGTGAGTTTAAGCCCCCCATTGGGCTCTGTGCTGGGTGTGGAGCCTGCTTAAAAAAAAAAAAGACTTAAAAGTTTTTATAACAAGCATCTAATCTGCAGAGAAAAATTCATACTCTTTAAAGAGTACTCTTTAGTCATAGAGTATTGAAATATATCATTGAAGAATTAATAGAATCACATTTTTTTGGATGATTTGCTTTTTGTTGTTGAGTTGATAAGTTCTTTGTATATTTTGGATACTGACCCTTTATCAAATATGTCATTTGCAAATATCTTCTCCCATTCAGTAGGTTGTCTTTTTAGTTTTGTTAGTTGTTTCCTTTGCTGAGCAGAAGCTTTTTATTTTGATGTAGTCCCAACAGTTTATTCTTGCTTTTGTTTCCCCTACTTCAAGAGACACATCTAGAAAGATGTTACAGCCAGTGTCGAAGAAATTACTACCTGTGCTCTTTTTTAGGATTTTTATGGTTTTATGGTTTCAGGTCTCACAATTAGGTCCTTAATCCATTTGAGTTTGTTTTTGTGTATGGTGTAAGAAAGTGGTCCAATTTCAGTCTTTTGCGTGTATCTGTCCAAATTTCCCAACACCATTTGTCCTGTCCCAGGACCCTGGGATCATGACCTGAGTTGAAGGCAGACGCTTAACTAACTGAGCCACCCAGGTGCCCCAAGACTGTCTTTTTCCCATTGCATATGCTTGTCTTTTTGTCAAAGATTAATTGACCATATAATTGTGGGGCTATTTCTGGGCTTTCTATTATGTTCCATTGATCTATATGTCTGTTTTTGTGCTAGTACTATACTGTTTTGATTACTACAGCTTTGTAATATGACTGGAAGTCTGGAATTGTGATACCTCAGTTTTGTTTTGGTTTTTTTTTCAAAATTGTTTTGGCCTACTCGAAGTCTTTTATGGTTCCATACAAATTTTAGGATTGTTTATTCTAGTTCTGTAAAAAATGCTCTTGGTATTTTGATAGGGATTGCATTAAATCTATAGATTGCTTTAGGTAGGATAAACATTTTAATGATACTTGTTTTTCCAATCCATGAGCATGGAATGTCTTTCCATTTGTTTGTGTCATCTTCAATTTATTTTTTTTAAGATGTTATTTATTTATTTATTTCAGAGAGGGAGAGAGCGAGAAAGTGCAAGCATGAGTGGGGGGGGAAGCAGACTCCCCGCTGAACAGAGAGCCCGATGTGGGGCTTGATCCCACCTGAACTGAAGACAGACACTTAACCGACAGCCACTCAGGCATCCCTCATCTTCAGTTTCAGTTTCTTTCATCAATGTTTTATAGTTTTCAGAGTACAGATTTTTCACCTCTTTGGTTAAGTTTATTCCTAGGTATTTTATTATTTTTAGTGCAATTGTAAATGGGATTGTTTTCTTAATTTCTCTTTCTGCTGCTTCATTATTAGTGTATAGAAATGCAACAGATTTCTGTACATTGATTTTGTAGGCTCTGTGACCTTAATGAATTCATTCATCAATTCTAGTAGTTTTTTGGTAGAGTCATTAGAGTTTTCTATATATAGTATCGTGTCATCTGGAAATAGTGAAAATTTTACTTCTTCCTTACCAATTTGGGTGCCTTTTATTCCTTTCTCTTGTTTGATTGCTGTGGCTAGGATTTCCAGTACTGTGTTGAATAAAAGAGGTGAGAATCGACATCCTTGTCTTATTCCTGACCTTAGGGGGAAAGCTCTGTTTTTCCCTTGAGGATGTTAGCTGTGGGTTTTTCATATAAGGCCTTTATTATGTTGAGGTATATTCCTTCTAAACCTACTTTGTTGAGGATTTTTATCATGAATGGATGTACTTTGTTAAATGCTTTTTCTTCTTCTATTGAAATGCTCATATGGTTTTTATCCTTTCTCTTATTGATATGATGTATCACAGTGATTGATTTGTGATTATTGAATCACCCTTGCAGCCCAAGAATAAATCCCACTTGAATGTCATGAGTGATATTTTTAATGTATTGTTGGATTCAGTTTGCTAATATTTTGTTGAGGATTTTTGCATAAATATTCATCAGAGATATTGGCCTGTAGTTCTCTTTTTTGGTGGTGTTTGATCTGATTTTGGAATCAGGATAATGCTGGCCTCATAGAATGAATTTGGAAGTTTTTCTTCCTCTTCTATTTTTTGGAAAAGTTTGAGAAGAATAGGTATTAACTCTTCTTTAAATGTTTGGTAGAATTCACCTGTGAAACCATCTGGATCCTGGGCTTTTGTTTATTGGGAGTTTTTGGATTAATGAGTCAATTTCATTGCTAATAATAAGTCTGTTCAAATTTTTCTATTTCTTCCTGATCAGTTTTGGTAGGTTATGTGTTTCTAGGAATTTATCCATTTCTTCTAGGTTGTCCAGTTAGTTGGCATATTTTTCATAATATTTATTCTCTTACAGTCTGTTGTGTTTCTGTGGTATTGGTTGTTATTTCTCCTCTTTTGTTTCTGATTTTGTTTATTTGAATCTTTTTTTTTTTTAATGAGTTTGACTAGAGATTTAATCAATTTTGTTGTCTTTTCAAAGAACCAGTTCCTGGTTTCACTGATCTGTTCTATTGCTTTTTTAGTTTCCTATATCATTTATTTCTCCTCTAATCTTTATTATTTCCCTCCTTCTTTTGATTTTTGGTTTTATTTGTTCTTTTTCTAACTCCTTTAGGTATAAGGTGAGGTTATTGAGTTTTTTGTTTTGTTTTGTTTTGCATCTTGAAGTAGACTTGTATTGCTAGAAACTTCCCTCTTAGAACTGTTTTTGCTGCATCCCAAAGATTTTGGACCATTGTGTTTTCATTTTCAATTGTCTCCATGTATTTTTTTGATTTCTTCTTTGATTTCTTGGATGACCCACTCATTGTTTAATAGCATCTTATTTAACCTCCATGTATTTGTGCTCTTTCCAGATTTTTTCTAATGATTGATTTCTAGTTTCATAATGTATTATGGTCAGAAAAGATGCATGGTATAACTTCAGTCTTTTTGAATTTGTTGAGACTTGTTTTGTGAGCTAATATGTGATCTATTCTGGAGAGTGTTCCATGTGCACTTGAAAAGAATGTGTATTCTGTTTTAGGATGGAATGTTCTGAATATATCTATTAAATCCATCTGGTCTAGCATGTCATGGAATCACATTTTTTAATAAGAGGCAAAGTCAACATCATTCAACTAATTAATTAATCTTCACCTTAATCTAAGTAATTATTTTTATTTTATTTTCATAGTTTTTTATTAAAAATGTCAAACACTGCCTTTTGGCTACAATTATAAATCCCTTTCTGAATTTCTGAAGTGCTAGATGAGAATAGTTGATTTTAAAAACAACAAACAACAAAAAAAATTTCTAAAACACTGCTCAAGGGACACCTGGGTGGCTCAGTCAGTTGGGCACCTGCCTTAGGCTCAGGTCATGATCCCAGGGTCCTGGGATCAAGCCCCACATCGGGCTCCCTGCTCAGTGGGGAGCCTGCTTCTCCCTCTGCCTCTGCTGCTCCCCCTGTTTGGGCTCTCTCTCTCTCTGACAAATAAATAAATGAAATCTTTAAAAAAAAAAAAAACACTGCTCAAAATAAGTCAGAAGCCTAATACAATATCTTTAAAATTTTAAATTGATGAGCTAATTGATTTTCTTGGTATGTTTAGTTAAGTGTTTTTTTCTCTATTTTATAATTACTGAAAAGATCTTAATATTTCCCTGCATTTTATTAAAAACTCATAGTCTCATGTTGGTAATCTGCCAGGGCAGACAGTATTTTTATATTGTATTTAAAATGTGCTAAGCTGAAAATGAGTCATGGTCTGGGTTTTGCTAGATCTTTAAACTGTAATTAGGTGCATTTTTTTCTTTCTTTCTTTTAAAAACATTTGACAGAAGATATGACCGAACTAATACAAATATTTTAGTGAATAGAGATGGAATTGAATACTATCATTAAATAAAATTGTAGGACTAGGGGTGCCTGTATGGTTCAGTTGGTTAAGTGTCCGGGTCCTGATCTCAGGGTTGTGAGTTCAAGCCCCGCGTTTGGTTCCATGCTACTTTAAAAAAAAAATTGTAGGACTAAAGTATATTCTTAGTTTTCATATGTTTTAGTAAAATAAATTATTAATAAGATTAATAATGTATAGTATAATAAATATTTCCTAATGAGCAATTTTTTCACTAGATGTTTTTAACTTTTAGGGAAATCCTTGTTAGGCCTCAGATATAAACATTTCCTTTTTCTAAAATTTCCACACATTTTTTTTTTAATTAAGTATAATATGCTTAAATTTGTCATTTGGGACAATATTAGGAGAATATATATTTTCTTCCACTTCAGGCTATTTTACTGTATTTTCCATATTTTCAAAAAGACTAAATTTTTTGGAGAAGGAATTCATGTGTAATGGTGTGGGTTTTTGAGTATACTTTTATACTCATATATTGAGACATGGGACCTGGAAAACAAAAAGTGAACAAAACACACTCACCAGCAAGATCTATGAACTTTAGAATGTTTAATAATACCAGAGTAGCATTTAGCTTTTTGAACTTTAAATACTTTAGCTTTAAATACTGTCATAGACAAGTACTAACCAAGAGTTAGAACTACAACCATCTTCCCCTTCTTTCTCCAAATTTCTGAGGGAAAACAGATGTCCTGTATTACTATCAATTCATTTATTTAACTGAAAAATCCTGATAATGATTGTCCATTTTCACTTAGCATGGACACTTATCAGGAAGCTACATGACATCAAAGAAGAGCCAACATAACAAAAAATTTAAAAGTAAAGAGTATGATGAGTACAGTACGTACAGTGATGACAACTTCGGCACCTACAGTCAGGAGACAGACGAAGATTTTGCCAGTCAGCTGAAACAGTACAGACAAGCTAAAGAAACCTCAACTACAGCTTTAGGATCATCATTTTCTAAAGAACCAGGGAAAAAACAAAGAATGAAAGCCCAGCAAGGTAAGTGCAAAATTGTCAGTCTGTTTTTGAATAGGAGAGCCTTATTACAACAGGCAGCTGTGGAGTAACAACTTAAATTTCTTAGTCCCTTCTCAAGATCAGCTTGTTCCCATGGTTCCTGAATTTGTTTTTCTTTATTTTATAGATTTTGAGGACAAACATCTACAAATATTTTAGTCTGCATGATCTCTTCATATTTGAATTAGAAAGATACCTAATATTTTAAAAGTATATAAAAATGTAAAACAACTTTCCCATTACATTTTTTCCCTTTCCTTGTATAATGATATCAGTATACTGAAAAAATGGCTTACCTTTTTCAGTTATTTCTGTTACTCTGTGCATCGCTTTATATTTTAGACCTATAAAGACAGAATTCTGGGGAGCTATTCTTTTATTAGACTTTAAAAGATGATGATCATCTTTGCTGTGCAAATGTACTTACACTTAGGATTATGGATATCCTTCAAGATTGGAAATAAGAACATAAACTAAGAAATTTCCCAAGTGATCATCACTTCCTCTGCTGTATTGAGGCACATGATCCCTGGAGAGACCAGGGCAAGTTGCCATAGAAACTATGGGTCACATAAAAGTCAAATCAACCTTACAAATTGTCCACTCAATGTCTGCTTCAAGAAAACTGGAGCAAGATGAGGCTGAGGTGAAGGAGTGAGCCCCTAACCCAATGTTACTATACTTTCTATATTGTTGAAAAAAGGAATCAGTTATGAGTAAATGTGATTGTTTTTATGACTTTATTTTTTCTGGATTTCCTAGCAAAATTCCTTTGAAAAATATGAATCCAGGCTTTGCTGACCTAAAAAAGGAAAGGAATTTGTCTGTGCATATGCTATTGTAATTAGTTAAGTTTGTTCCTGAAGTCTAGACATAGTGGTGTCAGGAATCATTCCACTTGGGGAATAAGGGAACATAGAGAGGTTTTGCTCATCCATTCCCACCTGGGGTTTTCCCTTTCAGGCTCTTCCTGTTTGTTCTGTTAAAGAATTGAGTATTCTTTTATTTTGGACATTCATTTTCCCCCCCTCAGTTATGAAAGTAATATATGGTCAGATGCAGAAAACTTTTTCCATGTGTGGAAACAATAACAAAGATCAAAGATAAAACAAAAATACTTTGAATCCCTACACCAGATATAACTACTATTAATATTTTTGGTGTACATTCTTCCAGAATTTTTCTGACAGTTATTTTTAACAAAAAACTATGCATACTGTTTAACTTGTTTTTTCCCTTAACTATGAATTGTATCATTCTTATGTTAATGAGTAGCTTTTAATGCTAACATTCTATTCAATTAAATAGATATACCATAATTTGTCTAACAGATTCTTAGGTTTGTGTGATCGTAATCACTTGAGATTTAAGTTGCACCCATTTTTTTTAAATTCTGTGATTAACCCTATATATTTATACATGTCTCAAAGAGCATCTTCACAAATATTTTTTCTTAAGAATAAATTCTAAAATGCAGAATTGAATCAAAAGATGTAGCCACACGTTTGAAAATTTTTTATCTACATACCAAGTTGATTTCCAAAAAGTTGATAGACCAATTTATAACACCCCACCAGTGTGTGAAAATGCCAATTTCTCCAAATCCATACCAACACTATTCTTTGAGATAAAAATTGGTATGTTATTTTTAAATTTTTAATTTCTTTTATTTCTTTTTAATGAAGTAAAACATTTTTTCATATATTTAAAACATTTTTTCATATATTTATTTGCTGTTCTGTAGGTTTAAGATCGCTTAATACATAAGAAAATGTATGTTTGATGTGACTTTGGTAGAATGAGAAATGACTCTATATAGTAACTTACCATCCTAATACATAATTTTTGCAATTTTAGATACTTTTAAATGCTAAGTGTTTTAAAAGTAAAAGACAGGTATAAATTTTACTTGGAAATATATGTGATACCTACTCAAAATTATCACTAGAAACTCAATTTGGTCAAATTAACCACTAATACCTACAATGTCTTCTTTAAGGATGAATATAATATTTAATTCCCTTAAAAACAGAAAGCCTTGTTATTTCCTATTCAAAGGAAAATTGAAAAGAACAAAACTAGCTTTGACTTCTGTAGCCATGTGTATTCTGGTGCCTTGACCTCCTTATTGTTAACATCCCTTAAAAAAAAAAAAAGAATGAGAAGCACTACCTGGAAAGTAAAATGTAAAGATTTAATTAATTTTTTTTCACTGAATCTAGAGAGGAAGAAAAAAAAATGCACTGTATATTATAGACTATTTAAAATATGCTGTTCCCTATAAACTGATAGGTTGACAGGTGTGTTGTTTTTCTATAATATTTGAAGTACATTTTAACTCTTTTAGGTATTGAACAGAGGGTTAAAACTTTTAATGTTGGTCGTGGACGTGGTTTGCCGAAGAAAATCAAACGCAAAGACCGTGGGGGAAGAACCAATAAAGGGCCTAATATTTTTTCAGGAATGGATGACTATCAAGAGGTACTGAGAATTTATAGATAATGAGGAGAGCTTTTCCATCTTTTAACCTATTTGGCTGCAAAGAAAGCATTGTGATTTTAATGCTACTTTCCTAGTGAATGAAAAATTTCCAGCTAAGATCAAATGAGTATAAATAGATTCTAAAAAAAGAAATAAAAGAATTGTTGTTTTAATTAGTCCAGATACTAGTATAGAGATGTAAATTTAGGTGACCTTGAAATAAAATTAATGTGTTTGAAAGCACCTCAAAATAAAACTGGTATGTCGGAAAGCAAAAATGTGATTCTAGTAGTTCTCTGTTGTACTTTACTTTCCTAGGAGTCATCTTCCCCAGATGCAAAGGGCAATAAAATGCTAATTGCTCAATATGAAGCATGGCTAATAAGAAGGGAGATACTGTAGCGGTAAATTAACTTATTAGAACTGAAAGCATTGAAAGAGAAGAAAAGGCACTATAAATGGTTGGAAAGATGAGTTTGTGTACATTGTGAATAGTAAATAGTGAATAAATATATGTTGAATTGAATTCTGAACATGTACATTTCAGCCTTGTTGCGACTCTTGGGATTAAAGTGGTCCAAATCCAGTATTCTGCCACTGTTCCAGTAAGATTGATTGAATTATACAGAGCAAGGGTAGGTTATTAAAAGCTACAACCTTGAGTGAGAGTAAAGGGATAGCAATATATTGTAATGTGAAAATGCTTGATTTTCTGATGTCTGGGTTTAAAGATAAGGGGCAAAGATTTCTTTCTTTCTTTTTTTTTTTTTTTTTTTTAAGATTTTAGTTATTAGAGAGAGAGACAGTGAGAGAGGGAACACAAGCAGGGGGAGAGGGAGAGGGAGAAGCAGGCTCTCCACCGAGCAGGGAGCCCAGTGCGGGGCTCCATCCCAGGACCCTGGGATCATGACCCAAGCCAAAGGCGGATGCTTAGTGACTGAGCTACCCAGGTGCCCCAAGGGGCAAAGATTTCTTAATATGTACTCCTTAGTATACTATTTAGGGAGATGTTAATAGGTATGACCTAAAAAAAGAAGTTCAGGCCCAAATAAATTTGTGAAACCCAGCATATGCCAGTCTACTCTTGGGGATTCTCAGTTGACATTAATGTATTAAAGGCTTCTTGCAAATTAGGTATAAAAAAGCCTGTTTTACTTTGTTCAATCCATTGTTTTCATATTTTACTTGACCCTGAACTTCCCCCCACCCCTGCCCAATCTATTAACATTAATTGAGCCAACTCACTGTTCCATGGAATAGCAGCTTTGGAAACAAGCGTAGAATTTCTGAGTAATTGTAACCTGCCTGTCCAACTTCCTACATTCCTCTAGAGTGTGCTCCTTTCCCTAGACCAAATTAATATGAATGCTATCTGAAAGTAAGCTTTCTCCTATATCCAATAGGTACACACTATGCTTGGAAAAAAAATTAGCTTCCAAGAAAGTGTGCCTTTGAACAAGTCACTACCTGAATCTGAGCTTCAATTTGCTTAATCTGTAAAATGAAAGTATGGTATTAAATTAACTCTAAGGAGACTTTCAAGCACTAACATGTTTACAGATCTGGATTGCAACTAAAAGAGTCTTTATCATGTTATAGAAAATCAGAATAAATTTTTTCTTTTGCATTCATCAGATTTAGAATATTTTTCCTTTTGCTTACTAAGATTAAAATATTATCAACTGTGTCAGTTTATTGGCTGTCAAGAGAGATTTCTTGTTATGATTCCACTCAACCAGGAGAGTGCCAGATCCCAAGCAAGTAGCTCCTGTTCGGGAGTGGTCTGGGGGAAACCTATCCAGGGTAGAGTGAACATGCTAGAGTGGCCAACATAGATCCATTTCCATCCTTTCCAGGGAGTGTGAGATCTTCCCAAAGCCAGATAAATTCACAGATACCTGCATGTCTACACGAACTGTCTTGAAAACTCTGTGTGGTCACAGAACAAGTAAATTTTTGATAGATTTGAAGGACTTATTGATTCTGTTGGCCATAAAACCTCCCTTATTTTTTTCGTATTTATAACATCTATTACATTTTCCGTAAATACATATTATTTTGCTGGCAAATCTTTTCGTTCCCTCTTCCTTATATATTTTTAAAAATATTTTATGCTCTTGTTCCTTATGCCAATATAATACATCTTCTAGAATAAATACATTTTAAAATAACCAAATAGGTACTTTAGTTTTCCCTCTCTCCATCTTTCCTTTCTCTCCCTCTTTCTTGAATTGTGTTTTCTTAGAGGTGGTATGATACAGTGCAAAGAGTTCTAGCTATCTTGACCGCTAACTTGCCATACGACCCTTGGCAAGTCACTAATTTCTCTAATATTCACTTTTCACATTTGTCTAGTGAGGCTGATGAACTAAATGACTTCTGTGGTTCTTCCAACTCTTATATTACAAGAGATCTTAGGGTAGGGGACATTCATGTTGCTTCTACAGGCTTAGACTTAAAAGATCAGATCTTCTAGGCATGTTATTTTGTCCTAAAATTTAATTGTTAAAGCTGCTTTAGATTTTCTAGAATATCTTGATTATAATTAGGTTTCTCATGGTTATGGATACTGATATACTTTCTACTCATTTAAACTAAACTAAACTACTAAACTAAACTGAAAAACAAAATAAAAAAACCCACTATCCTCTATTAAAACAATGAGGCACATGATTAGAAAGTAACATAGAATGCGTTATTGATGAAATAGAGGTACAACTTGGTGCATTTTTCAGGGTGGTTTTGGGGGTTTTTTGGTGATTACTTACTATTTTACTTTTCAATTTCAGTTATATTCTCCAAGTTGGCCTATTGGTTTTGTATAATGCATTCTCCTTGGCTTCCTATTTTATTATGGCCACCATTCTTTGTACAGAAGGCATATGTGAGCTGGTCATTTATATCTACTTTTTCTAAATGAGCCTGGAAAGAAAATGTTTGTGAGTCAAATTTACATAAATTTAAGACATTTTAAATGATCCTGTCAAGAATAGTATAAGCAATTTCATTGTGTTTTCCTGGGGCAATTTGGGTATACTTATATTTTTTAAAAGAACCTATAGGATTATCTCTTTTCTTGGTGTTTTTGTACTTTTTTTCCCCAGAATTCTTACAGTAAAACATATATTTCAAATGCGAACGCTGAGGATCAAATTTAAGTCTAGCCATGCTTTGCCTCAAGTGTTTGCTCTGAGGCAGTTTCCTATTTTCAGTAGGTTGTGTTTTGTTCTCCATCTCCTAGCAAATTGAAGGAAAGGGAAACAAATCAAATTAGAAGAGCAAATAGTTATTGTGAGTTCCTGCTATATACAAAGCATGGTGCATACCAGGTGTTTGAAAAACAGTGCTATTTTTTCAGAGCTCATGAATCTAAGTCCTTAGCATGGCTAAGCATCCTGCTCTTGTTGCTCAGTCTTCTTGTACTCATAGCAAAAGTTGAATAGGGGTCTAAGGAGAAAGTAAGGAAAACAGGTAGGTAGGGCTGTGAGAATTTCTACCGTATACTTCTTTTTGTTATTTTTTAAAAGTTAAAGGAAATACATCCTCCCTCTTTTTTTTTTTCCTATAGGAAGTACAGAATAACCACACATGCAAAATATCTCTAATTTTTTGGAGATCCATCTAGAGACATACACTATTAAACATGGGGTTATATTCTTTTAGTCTTTTTTCTTTGTATTTATTATTATAAAATTCAGATCAGTTTTCCACTTACTAAAGTACTGTGAACATTTTCTTATGTCCCCAAATTGTCTTTCCATCTCATCAGTTTGTAATGATTTCATACTAATCTACACTGATCTGCATCATAATGTATTTGACTGGCCTCGTTGTTTGGGATGTGTAGAGTATTTCTAGGTGTCTGCTTGTTTGTTGTTTTATCATGTAAAGTAATTCTGCAGTAATTTTTGTGAATAAATGTATGTGTGCCTCCCTGATAATTCCTTCAGAATACTCCTGAAAAGTGCAAATTTTGTGTCGAACAGTATGGATATTATAAATCTTTTATAACATAGCTATCAACAATCACAAGAATGCACATTTAACATCTTTGTCAACAGAGTATTATTGTTAATTTTCAAGGTTTTCAAAATTTTATCTTAAAAAAGTGTACAGCCTCATTAAAATAGAAAGAGGGTTCTTTGCAACTGCCGGTAGCAGTGAGCAGTGTATGAGAAGCGTATCTCTCCAAGGAAGTGTATAGTGTCTGAATGTCCGCTCTTGACCACTTTAAATAGTAGTTTGTACTGCTTTCCCAATCCATTTGACTATCCATTTTAGTACATATGTAATATTTCATATGTTGTATTCAAATGATTTTTTCTTTCTTACAGTATAGTAAACCAGGGAAAAAATGGAAGGTTATGACTCAGGAATTCATTAATCAGCACACAGTGGAACACAAAGGAAAACAAATCTGTAAATACTTTCTGGAAGGGAGATGTATTAAGGTAAATTTTGGGGGGTATCATAAATCATTTTAACTTCCAAAATAATCTTTAAGATGTAAAGTCTTTTTTGGGGATGGTTAGTTTTTTTTTTTCATTTCTCATACAGTTATAATAATAAAGCTGGTTCTCAAAACATATCTTCAAAGTGTATCTATGGAAATACTGTACATCAGAGCTCATTTAAGTGTATTCTGGGACAGTAATATAATTTGTTGAACTCAGATTTTATTTAACAAACACATAATGCTATGTGGCAAGTACTGTTCAAAGTGGATTATTAATGTTAAATTTTTTAATCTTTACAGCAACCCTATGAAGTAGTTATTGTTATTATCCCTGTTTTATACATGGCCAAACCAAGAGGTTAAATATGTGCCCACAGTAGCTCAGCTAGAAATGGTGAGTGCTGGTGGAACCCAGGCAGCAGCCTCTGAGGCCATGCTCACCATGCTGCCTCTGCACATAGCCACATCCACTGTCCTGGGCAAGACTTCCAAGGGATTGTTTGAATTATTATTAGATCATTATTTAAACACTGAAGATATGGCCACAATTCCACCATGGAACACCATAGAAAAAACTCAGTTGTTACTTTTTTTCTCTCTCTTTCTTTTTTCTCTTTTTTCTCTTTTGTGACAGGGAGATCAGTGTAAATTTGATCATGATGCAGAGTTGGAGAAGAGAAAGGAGATCTGCAAATTTTATTTACAAGGATATTGTACCAAAGGAGAGAACTGCATTTATATGCATAATATCCTTTATTAAGAAGATGTTAACCAAAATTTTGAGGTTGTAAAACATTACTGAGGTTTTTTAAAATCCCTAGAAAACTTACTTTGGTTTTAAATTTAAAATAGCTTCTGCTATGGTCATATGATTTTTTTCTCTTGATCTTGTCAAAGTGCTGATTACAGTAATAAATTTCCTAAAACCCTACAGGAATTTCCTGAACTGTAAACCACCTAAAAATGGCATATTTTTCAATAAACTTCTGGATTTAATATTTTCTTTAGAAGTTTAAAATTTGTTTTCAAAATCATGAGGTAGCTTGGCTTACAGTTTTCATCTTGGGATATTTGACTTTAACATGACATTTCGAGCCCTTTTGTTTTCTTTATTGATATCAGCTCTTACTACAAAATTTATTTGCTCTGTCTACAATTTTTATTGTGGAAAGTAATGGAATTTACATAATTGACATACTATAGTATTTGCTATAGCAATTATATTTTTTATTTAAAAATTTTTCTAGCTAAATATAGTAAGGAAGATTAAAATCTTTGTTTTGCTACATAATTGAAATATTTCATCTTAAAAATTAAATTGTCTAAACTGACATGATTGTAAAAAATTCAGTACAATATATAGTAATACAGCCTTATTGACTCAGCACAGTTATGTTTTTGGATTTAAAAATACTAGAGTTTGATTTTACTTATTAGTCTCTTCCTTAATATTTTTATTTACATGAATTTCCATGTAAGTTCTATCATAGTGGAGCAAAATGTTACCAAGGAGACAATTGCAAATTTTCACATGATGATCTGACTAAAGAAACAAAGAAACTTTTGGACAAAGTAAGTAATATTTGTGCACTTCAATTATTTGTTAGGTCTTACCACAGATTCATTTGACTTGAATCATATTTTATAAATCGTATTTCATAAAAGTCTCCTGAGAAATCAAGGATTTGTTATTTTATGTTTTAATCTATGAATGTAGTGTGTTAGAAAAGGAGAAATATTGGACTAGGAATTAAGAATCATTCTTACTCTTGTTCTGCCATTAAAAAGCTAAGGTACTTTGAGAAATATCCTTTACCATTTTGAACCTCATTATCAAAAATGAGTTAGCGCGCTCTGACCATTTTAACTTCAAAATGATATTTTTCTAATAACAAAACTGGTTTATTGAAGTCTTCACAGTTTTTAAATGTAAGGAAGAAAGCTTGTTTTGGAATAGTAATCTTTGCCAATCATTTTTAGGTGTTGAACACTGAAGAAGAAGCCACAAATGAAGATGAACGAGAATTAGAAGAACTTAGAAAACGGGGCATAACTCCTCTTCCCAAACCACCTCCAGGAGTTGGGCTTCTGCCAACCCCACCAGAGCATTTTCCCTTTTCTGATCCCGAAGACGATTTTCAGACCGATCTCTCTGATGATTTCAAGAAAATCCCATCTCTTTTTGAAATAGTTGTAAAACCTACTGTGGATTTAGCACATAAGATTGGGAAGAAGTAAGTTAAAATTCTCAAAAATGGCATCCTTTTTCCCCTAAAAGTTCTTATTAAGGAACTAACATGTATTCCATGTTAATCATATAATTAAACTTAGATAGAGATAGCAGATACCTGGCATTTACCCCGATTGCTCTTCCTGCTTCCTCTTTGTCTCTGCCCTCTGCTGCATGCCATCAGTGCTTCTCTCTGTGGAATCCTTAACAGCTTCAGAAACCTCTCCACATAGTAACCCTGAAGGACACTGCCAGGTGGATGACGTTGGTATTTCTCCCAATTCGTTACGAGGCTACATTCGACATTGATAACATTTTCAAATAGTGGCATTAGCATGTTTCCAGAATATTTGATTCTTTTAGAGAATTATTTCCTTGGGCTATTAGAGGAAAACCTTTGGGTAAGCTGCATCCAGATTTGCATTTCCTAACAACACCATTCCAGTCCTGCGGCCCTTTCCCAGGGATGTGCACCTGGGCCTTAAGTCCATTGTTGATTATTTTAACCCTGAACACTCAGGAAAGCAATGAGATCTCAGCAAATGAGGAACAAGAAATCTATAGGAAATGTCACAGTTAATGTGAATCGTTAAAATTATTTCTGTTAAGGCCAGGAAGACAGGTGTGTCCACTGTTTGGCTAATATTGTAGATCAGATCCTACCCAATGCAAAAAGAGAAAGACATAATAGATGAAAGGTTAGAAATGGAGAGGCAGCTCATTATTTGGGTGGTTTCCCTTGGTAAACCTGAAGGAATCAACTGACAAAACTGTTAGAAATAGTAATTAAATTAGTAAGATGTCCAGAAGGAAGAACAATCAAAACCTAAAGGTCTTTTTATATGCCAGCAGTAATTGATGAGAAATGGAAAAGTTGTAAGTCTGTGTATGCCTAGAAAAAGTCTAGGAGAGAACTCATCAAAAAATGTATCTTTGGGTGGCCGGATTAGTGGTGATTCTTACTTATCTTTGTACTTTTCTGTATTTTTCAAAATATCTGTAAGCTTTAGAACAGCTGATGGTGTCAGTTAAGACTGTGGGCTAAAATGAAGGCAAGATGCATATATTGATATTTGGTGTTTTCATTTGGAGATAACGTAGAATAAACTGCTTCTTAAAAACACATTCTGGGGGCGCCTGGGTGGCTTAGTCAGTTAAGTGGCTGCCTTCGGCTCGGGTCATGATCCTGGGGTCTTGGGATCGAGCCCCGCGTCCGGCTCCCTGCTCGGCGGAGAGCCTGCTTCTCCCTCTCCCTCTGCCTGCCACTTTGCCTACTTGTGTTCTCTCTCTATCTCCCTGTCAAATAAATAAATAAAATTAAAAAAAAACACACACATACATTCTGATATAGAAAAACACACTTAACCAATACATATTTAAAAATATAACATTCTTGTTTGCCTCTTTTCTTTGAGCTAAGAAATATTATTCTTTCTGTCTACAGGCCACCAGCATTTTATAACAGTACCTCACCACCAGGACCACAGTTTCAGGAAAGCAGCCCACATCCTCAACATATCTATAGTTCTGGATCAAGTCCAGGTCCTGGACCTAATATGTCTCAGGGACACAGTAGTCCTGTGATGCACCCGGGCTCCCCCGGACATCATCCATGCGCAGCAGTGCCACTCAGCCCACCTTTGCCACCTGCTCCACCTGGAATTTTAGGTCCTCACAGTCAAGCTGGGGTACTTGTTCAACCAGATGCACCTTTGACACCACCGAGTATGAGTGGTGCTTACCATTGCTCGGGCTTTCCAGAACACATGATGAAAGTACCTAGAGAGAATCACTGTTCTCCGGGTTCCTCATACCTGCAAAGTACTGGTGAAATGCAGCTCAACACCAGTTATGAGTCCCTACAAAACCCAGCTGAATTTTATGATAATTACTATTCACAGCATGCTGTACATAATTTTCAGCCACCCAATAACTCTGGTGGTAAGTTTACCTTTTCAAGTAACTCATTTTTAATTTAAAATCTTTGGATTTCTCCATTTTTCATTAAAAACATGATAAGAGTGTATGTTTTTAATAAAGCTAAGTAAAATGTAATGAAATTGAAGCCATAAAATATATTTTAAATTTAACCAAACATTTGCTACACCAGAACTTTAGATAGCTTTAAAAAAATATTTACAATCGGGCGCCTGCGTTGCTCAGTCGGTTAAACGTCCGAGTCTTGGTTTCAGCTCAGGTCATGATCTCCTGGTCGTGAGACGAGCCCCACGTCCAGCTCCACACTCAGCATGGAGTCTGCTTGCCCCTGCCTCTCCCCTCCATGCTCTCTCTCTCTCTCAAATAAATAAAATCTTTAAAAAAAATATTTGCAATCACATAATAGTTTGGTAATCAAATGTAATTATTATTAAAGCTTCAATTTCTTATAATTTCTTATTATTCAATTTCTAGTGGAGTTCTGTGCTAAATCAGTGTCTGTGTCTTTCTGTGTTATGTGTATAGATGGGATGTGGCATGTTGACTTTGCCCAGCATCAGCCAACCATTGTTCAAGACTCCCCTAACCGTGCGAGTGGATCTGACGGCAGCAGCAACACGAAGGGCCACGGCCCCCTGCCTGCACCAGGCCTCCTCCCTGCAGTGCAGAGAGCTCTTTTTGTCAGACTTACTCAGAAATACCAAGAAGAAGATGAACCAAGCAGCACCCAACCTCAAAGGGCACCAAGCAAGGAAGAAGGTGTGTCAGGTGTTATGATAGCATCTTACTTTCGATTACTCAGTTCCTGAAATGCTCTTGAATAGGTTAAAATTTGAAAAATGAGCTCCTCTGAACTGTCTATTCTGTTTCCAATTTACCTTGTAGCTCGTGTCTGCTCGGAATTGATTGTGGTTTCCAGTGACAATAATGCTTTAGTAATTAATTGCAAAGAGTTTGACCTGAAGCAGTGAGATCTGAAGCTATAGTGTGAGGCCTGGGCTGAAGCCCTTTTTATGGAAGAAAGAAATAGAACAGGAACCAGACATCTTCCAGTTCAGGAATTTTGACTTCTAGCCCAAGTTTAAAATGATTCAGTTATTAGAGAAGTTTCTATGGGCATAGGCTGTATACTTAAGATTCTACTATATTATGAAGGAATATTATTTTTAATATAAAAGATTATGTGGAAACCTCAAGTTTACCTTAGTGTTTTTGATGTCAATAAGTATACAGCAATTAGTTAATTCAGTTAAGGAGAGAAAGCTTAATGCATCCAGTTCTTCTTATGTATTACAAAATTGATATGTTTGCCCACTTTTTTGTGTATATATATATATATATTTTTTTATTAAGTAAATTACATGGCCAACGTGGGGCTTGAACCCATGACCCCGAGACCAAGAGTCTCATGCTCCACCAACTAAGCCAGCCAGGTGCCCGTTTGCCCACTCTTAAGCATAAAATTTATAAATATGTAAAACTAGATAACATTAGGTATCTACAAGCTACTATATAAACATCTGTAGCATTAACTCTTCATTTATTTAACATCACAGGGAAATGAGGGATGCCTAATAAGTTAATTTCCTGTACAATTTATGTTTGCTCCTTAAAGTGCTAAAACTTAACTTTAAGAAAAAACAATTTTAATGATAATCTTTCTATAAAGTCTTACAAAAGTTTACATTTTCATAAACAAGAAAATTACAGTTTTTCTGGATTTAAATTTTGTAGTATAATAGTATAATTGGTGATGTTTTATGAAGGTTTTTTCTCCGTATCCAGAAAAAATCTTGAACAGCTAGGTTTTTTTTTTCATTTAAATTCAGTTAATTAACATATAGTGTATTATTAGTTTCAGAAGTAGAGTTTGGTGATTCATCAGTTGTATATAACACCCAGTTCTCATTATATCACGTGCCCTCCTTAATGCCCGTTACCCATTTACCCCATCCCCCACTCCCCTTCCCTCAGGCAGCCCTCAGTTTGTTTCCTTTGATTAAGAGTCTCTTACGGTTTGTCTCCCTCTCTGATTTCATCTTGTTTTATTTTTCCCTCCCTTCCCCTATGCTCCCCTGTTTTGTTTCTTAAATTCCACATATGAGTGAGATTATATGATAATTGTCTTCCTCTGACTTATTTTGCTTAACATAATACCCTGTAGTTCATCCATGTCATTGCAAATGTTAAGATTTCATTCTTTTTGATGGCTGAATGATGTTCCATGGTGTGTGTGTGTGTGTGTGTACACACACCATATCTTTTTATTCTGTTGATGGACATCTGGGCTCTTTCCATAGTTTGGCTATTGTGGACATTGCTGCTATGAACATTGGGGTGCAGGTGCCTGTTTGGATCACTACATTTGTATCTTTGGGGTAAATACCTAGTAGTGAATAGCTAGGTTTTTTGTGTGTTTATGTTCATTTTTATAAATTTTAATGCCCTTTTAATTTTAATCTGTCCTTTGATAAAAAGCTGATAAAAAGCTGTTAACTGTCATTTCTTATCTAATATTTCCTTTCCATTGGCCTATCTCTACTGGTGTACTTTCCTTCTGTTCTATATTCATTCTCATTCCAAAAAGGATTTAAGATGGCTTATGAAATATATTGATATGAAAGTCAAAATAAAATAGCATCTTTCTTTTGTGGATCAGATTTGGATCATCTTACTATTTGGAACAAGTAACAAATTCTGTGAGGAGTGAAATCGCTATGCAGAAATATTTAAAATAATGGCAACAGGTAAAAGTGAATCACTAGTTCAGCTTTGGTCTTCCTGACGTCAAAGAGAGGAATAAAAGAGATCTAGTGTCTAGAAGTAGTTTTTTCTGACACTGAAATATGAGTGAGACTTTTTTCCATTGGGTTGGGGTGCCTGGCTGGCTGAGTCAGTGGAACATGAGATTCTTGATGCTTGGGGTTGTGAGTTCGAGTCCCACATTGGATGGAGAGATTACTTAAAAATAAAGTCTTTAAAAACAAAACAAAACTTTTTTCCATTGTGATAATATAGTCTATACAATTTTAAACCCCAATTTCACCCTAAATACCAACGCCTGTTTTTTAACTCTGTTCAAACTAAATGTGTAACACTAAAGTTCCATGCAGTGGAAACATGTTAGTGAGCAGTGAGAGGAGTTAAATGAGAATATGTCCAATATTGTATTAATCCAAAATATTCTAGGATATATACGTATATATGTATGGGAGTGTGCATGTGTGTGTGTGTTTGTGTTACCAATTCAAAGTCATCGTATGTATGTTTTAATGGAAAGGAAGGAGACTCCCTCCTGTAGTATCAGTTTCTAATCCCTGCTGTACTACTAGAGAGAACACTTCTGAGAGTTAAGCTTCTTAACAGGGTGCTAACATACTAGGGTTAAATATAAACCTTCAGGAGTAAGGCCCAAAGTGTTCCCATAAAGTTAAAGTATATAAATTTCAGGATGTTAGTTTTGTTATTTTTACTTTTAAATGTTTAAATAGCTAATATATTCACATATGTCAAACATCTAAAAATATAATAAGCTATAAATGAAAAATCTCTGCCTCATCCCTCATTTGCTTGGTTCCCATTGCTTCCTTAACCAGTACTATTAGTGTTTTGTTTTATTTCCAGATTCTTAAAAAATATTTCATCCTTGTTATCTTGTTAAATCCAGAGCTACAAAGCTTAAGTATTACTTGAATTAAAGAGATCCAAAACATTTTAGCATTCTTTTCCAAGAGTATTTTCTCTTCTTCCCCAAGTCTGTCATACCACACACACTCTGAGTTCCCTTTCGGCCAGTCCGAGTGAAAGGTCCTGACTTCTCCCTAACCGGAAGGACGTTACACATATTATAATATCACACCTCTTTCTTTATAGAGTATGATGACTAAATTGATCATTGTCATTCCACATCTAATTTTATTCCAGTGTTGAATCTCTGGCATTTCTTTGATGCATTTTCTTGAAGTTAGACTACACTTATTCCAGAAGTAATGTGTGTTTTTTAATTATTTTAATTAAGGTCAAATATGAATGATTCATCCTTTATAATAACTTTTCGTCTGCATTTAGATGATACTGTTAACTGGTATTCAAGTAGTGAAGAGGAAGAAGGAAGCAGTGTGAAGTCAATACTGAAAACATTACAGAAACAAACAGAAACTTTAAGGAATCAGCAACAACCTTCCACAGAGCTCAGCACTCCTACTGACCCAAGACTCGCTAAAGAGAAAAGCAAAGGAAACCAAGTTGTTGACCCTAGACTTAGGACTATCCCAAGGCAAGACATGAGAAAATCTGAATCTACCCCACTGGATCTAAGACTTGCATGGGATCCCAGGAAATTGAGAGGGAATGGAAGTGGTCATGTAGGATCTTCTGTTGGTGGAACAAAGTTTGATTCACATCATGCAAATGCTGGCTCTGTCAAACACAAAAGAGGAGATGATGATGATGAAGATACAGAAAGAGAATTGAGAGAAAAAGCTTTCTTAATACCTTTGGATTCTTCCCCTGGCATAATGCTCCAGGATCCAAGGTCTCAGCTGAGGCAGTTCAGTCACATTAAAATGGATATTATCCTAACCAAACCCAACTTTGCAAAACACATCGTGTGGGCTCCAGAAGACTTACTTCCAGTCCCTTTACCTAAACCTGACCCAGTATCTTCAATCAATTTACCTCTGCCCCCTCTTATAGCTGACCAGAGGCTCAGTAGGTTATGGAATACAAAAAGCGATCTTCATCAGAACACAGTGCCCACTGATTCGAAATCAGCAGCCAAAGCCAAAGTGAACACCACAAACAGAGAAGGCTACCTAGAACAATTTGGAGACTTACATAGTTCAGGAAGTAAATTAGGAGATCCTAGGCTGCAAAAAAATTTTGATCCTAGGCTTCATAGACTGCACACTACAGAGTCTCACCCAGCTGTTGTGAAGGACTCACATACATTAAAGGGCACCCCTCACTTAGCCAGATCCAACCCTGCTTCATCACAGCCCTCAGGGGCAGCGACTAGCAGCAGTTCTGGGCCAGGGCCTTTGCCTCCGTATGCCCCTAAACTCTCCTCTTCAGCTGGCCTTCCCCTGGGAACTCCAAGTTCAGTTCTTAGTGGCATTAGTTTGTATGACCCTAGGGAGCATGCTTCATCATCTGCATCAGAGCTAGCAACAGAAAATGCAGAGAACCAGAAAAAAAGTGGTTTAAAAAGTAGTGACAAAAATGAGCCTTCTCCTGGAGAAGCAGTCCTGCTACAGAAAACCAGTGCAAACGTGGAAGTCGCTGTGGATGGGCCGGCTGATCCCCAGGCAGATATTCTCAGGAGTCCTGGTATGGTTCAGGTCCCAGCAGTGCACAGTCTTCCTATTCAGGCATTAACAGGCTTAATTAGACCCCAGTACAGCGAGCCAAGGCAGTCCAGGCAGCCAGGACAGATGAGCCCCACCCCAGAAAGTGATCCCAGTAGAGAACCAGATGACAAATCTCTGAAAGAGGTTTTTAAAACTTTTGATCCAACTGCTTCACCATTTTGTTAGCTATTCTTTTCACTTTGTGACTATTGCAGTCCTCTGCTGTTTTGTAACTGGTTTACCTCTATAGTTTATTTATTTTTAAATTATAAATACTTTTCAGCTGCTAGTATCAGAACCACATGAAGTTATATCCTCTAAAGCCTGTGGTATTTTATATAATATTTTTATAACTTTAAGAGACTGTAGTAATTGACATAGAAACCTATATATCATGTTAGCTTCAGTAAAAGTACTTTTATCGTTAATAAACCATCATGAACTCGACACTCTGCCCAAATATATGCCAGTCATCTTTCATAATCAATGTTTAGATAAATGATTACCACTTTTATATGGTTGTTAGTTTCAAGCAATATGATGTACATTACTTTTGAGCAACAGTATTTTGACTAGGATCTTCTCTATTTGTCAACACAGAACTGATTAATATGTAATGCTAACTGCTAACTAAAATGTAAAATGAAGTAAAGAAAACATTTTTAAAATCACAATCGGCAGAGCAGTTCGTGTTTAAGGGCATCACTTTTATTAGTATTGGCAATATTATTCGTGTAAATGAAGCATTTGAATGTCATATCTTTTAAAAGTATTTTATTGTATACTGTATCATAGAAGTTGGAGATACATAGATTGTTTTTGCTAAAGTGAAAAATTCCCCAAGTTCTCTAACATAACTTTTTAAATTTAATTTTTCATATTAAATAGTTATGAGTTCTTGCTGTGCTGTGTGATGTTTATGTGTTTCAGTGTTTTTTGTCTTTAGCAGCATAATTTATATTACTTTTTCAAATGATGTAGCTGCAATAATTGTATTCATCATAACTTTGATAATTTTTAACAAAATTTTAAAAGATCCAGTGACAGTCTGTAGTGATTATTGCATTGATAATGTTTTAAATGTCCAGGTTCTATATTTTAAGTAGCAAGAAAACACAGAGATGGTATAATCAACTGTATGTGGCTACCAATAAAGAATCTCTTTCAGATCTCTCCTGACTGGCATTCTGTAACAGAAGAGACTGCCTGGTATTTTAAGTATTTAATGTCCTCATAGTTTGGAAATCTAAACTGATTAGAAATTGTATTTTTATGAAAAATAATTTGTATTCATTCTTGTGTCTTTTGTGCAGTATATAAATAATGGCAGCCCTATTTGTTTTATACATATATTATTTATAATGGAAAGTAAGTATTACACTGATATTCATATCTTGAACTGGACACGTGTGACCATGTTTGCTGGTAATAGCTCCAATAAGTAACTTGAGATGGAGCATTTCACTATAAAAGATAATGAAAGTGAAGGAAATTGGTCCTTGGATGAAAATAGCTATGCTTGAGAAGTCATTTAAAAAATACATGGCAAAATATTTCTTTGGGAACCTAACACTCAGCTAGTATATAATTTAATATTAATGCTTATTTTTCTATTCACTTCTTCATTTTTTTTTTGGCTTTGATTCCATGCTTAAATGGGGTTGCAGCTAAGTGAACAGAAACTCTGCTTACCTAAGAAGTTCATTGTGTTCTAACTGGAAGGACAGTTGTTCAAGGGGATGTGAATTTTTACTATTTATACGTTAGTTCCATTGTTGCCTAAAATGGCTCTGGATAACATTTTTGGGTTAAAAAATGCACTTTAAAACCACCATAGAAAGTATTTTCTGATTTACTGTCCACATGAACTTTTATTGTTAATTGAGAAGTCAATAAATGGTTAAAACTGACAGAGAAAACTATATGTGTGTGTATACACACGTACACTTATATACATACGTATATATAATATTACTTTATCAGGAAAAAATCAGTAAAATTGCTGAGTTTTAGTAATTAAATTGAAATTTTTAGCAAATCTTCAATTCCCTCTTATAATTTAGCAAATCTTTAATTCCCTCTTCTAATTACATTAAGTAATGATGTTCATATTTTAAATATACAAAAAAGATAATTTGGCTTGTTAAAGATCCAAATAGAATCTAAATTTTTTTTTTTAAAGATTTTATTTATTAGAGAGAGAGACACAGCGAGAGAGGGAACACAGCAGAGGGAGTATGAGAGGGAGAAGCAGGCTTCCTGCTGAGCAGGGAGCCTGATGTGGGGCTCAATCCCAGGACCTGGGATCATGACCTGAGCCAAAGGCAGGCATTTAACGACTGAGCCACCCAGGCGCCCCTAGAATCCAAATTCTTAAGATCCTTTTTGGAAGGAAGAGAAATGTTGAAAGATTAATTAAAAAGTAAGGTTTAAAAATCAATGCAAATTATAATGTCCATTTGCTCCATATTCTTGAGTCCCTATCATATCAGCTAGTGTCCTAGAGGCTATTTTATAAGAACGTGTGGGCATAGTCTCAAATTTAACAATATATTTTATATGAAAATGTTTAAAATAATGATTTTAATTTGTGGTCTTTTTTAATCAAGATAACTTTAGCTTAGGGGATAGTCTATTGTATCCTGTCAATTTAGATTATTTTAATCTTTTTTCCTTTTTCTCACCAAAATTTAGTAGGTAGCCATTTCCCCTGATGAGTAAGGTCCTCTTTAAGATGAATCAGTATTTGTTAGAATCCATGTAAGTTGATTTACACTAGCATACTGGAAAATACTTTATGTCCCTATTCTTATAAGCCAAACATTTACAGATAACAGAAATAACTTGTGTCTTAAGAGAGTCTGGATGAGACTCATTGAGGTGTAACATAACTATTCATACTGGTTTGTGACAGAAGGTTTATACCCGTTTACTGTGATGTCGAGTAGAATGGGATATATCAGGGTATTGAATTGGAATACCCAGGTGACCATAATTTAGTTTGGGCAACACCTTTCCCCCATTTTAATGTTTAGCTTTCGCTCCAAACTCCTGTCTCTGGAGCTTTCCCAATTAGGACCTCATTCTGAACCTGAAAGTAAACCAAATATTGGAGTGATTTCAAATTCTGCTTCAGCAATTACATCTGTTTCTGTAGGGACCCTCTGTGTTACCCAGCTGCATGTGCCAAACCCCAGAATTAGGTTGCAAGTGAAACAGCCTAATTATAGGATGATGTTTGCTTAGGTTTCTGTTATCTTTTAATTTGCCTTAAGAACTAGTTTTCTTTGCTTGTCCTACTTAAATTTTAAGAGTGGAAGAACTGTTGATTAGTAAAGAAATCCTGTATAAGCGTACACATAAGCCACTTTGCTGAATTAATTAGAAGAGAAGACGGAAAGGAGAACTTGGGAGGGCTGGGGACTTAAAGACAATAAATTCATATTCTTGTTCTGAATTGTTTTTTTCTCAACGTCCAGTTCCTTATCTGTGAAATGGGTATAATTTTTGCTCACAGATTTGATGTAAGGAGTGAATGAATTATTAAAGTATTTTTAAATGTGAAATTGGTTTATAATTTCACGGACATAATCGTTACACATTACACTTCCACTAGGGTGCATTAAGCTGTACAAATTCCAAAATAACATTTGTGTGGTTCACCGATTTTATGTTTTTTCAGATGATATATATTGAAGACACAATAGAATTGCGTGAGAAGTTGTTTTAGAGAGTATTAACCCATCAAGTTAGCAACTCCCTTTAACATTTTGTGTATTGTTAGTAAGACATAGGACTTTCGTAATTTAGAGCTGTATGGACTTGTAGTGTCTGTTTAAGATCTGACCGCTCTGCCCGTTTTATGTAAGTTGGATATTGATGGAGGGTTAAAAATGCTATGACAATCCATATTGCGTGGTGTATTTGCTTCATTTATAGCATGTGTGGTGTGGGCAAAGTGGCCAATTCATTATAAAAGCCATTGGCTCTTAGAAACATTAGAGATGTTTACTCCTACTTTTTAGTATATATTTCTGCTAGCATATGACATGGAGGTCTTTCTGAGTGACCACTTGCTTGATTAAAGATACCATTTTTGTTTGGTTAATGGCAACTTAAAGTTTGGAGGTTCCTAGGGACCTAGATGTGAGGTCTTGTCGAAATCTTTCCAGTTGCCCAACACAAAGTCAAGGTAGAGATGTTCTCCCTGAGTTTACCCTTCTGGGCTTGAGGGTTACACCTTGGAGAGGTGGTCTGTGCTGACAGACTTGGAGGTGTGGTCTGCAGTCAAGTGGTGCACTGATAGGGCCCCTGCAAACTTCAGGAACTGGTCTTTTGTGAATATCTAAAATAAAGAGTTGTAATTACCTTTTCAGAAATGGGTTGGCAGCACTTGATCATATTTATGGTCAAAAAGTGGGATATATAAGTCATTAGTAAACAATTAGTTAAATAAGGCTTAGTTTAGGAAATGTAAGCTTTAACAAAATGTAACCGAACAGGGCTTGAGTGTTTAAAGCTGTTTTCCTCACATGTGTTATGATTTAGCATTTATCTTTCCTCCAAGGAGTTTAATGTGATTTACAGAAGCAGTTTCGGTAGCTACCAATCACCAAGTTGCTGGGGTTTTGTTTTTGAGTATGTTATTTATCAGTATCTGCCAGTTGTAACAGAGCCCAAATTAACCTGTTTTTCTTGGAAAGGATGCAGACCTAAGAAAGGGCTTTAGGTCAACATCAACATAATATTTAGAATTTCTAATTTTTAAATAAATAAAAAGCACATTTTAAATGGTATTTTATGCTTTTGGAGGCAGGACGGTATGTGCCTCCTTGCTTTGCTGTTTCCCCACAGCAACAAGCCTGGTTCTAGGCACAGGGTGGGTGCTTTGTTAATTGCTTGTTAACTGCTTCCCGACATCCATCCAAGTTTAGATTTTGATGTGGCGGAGCCATTCCATGATTGTATCCAAGAGTACAATTCATAAAGTATACCTCTTTTAGTAGACACAAGGCACCTACCTTCTCTCTCTCTCTCTCTCTTTTTGCCTCCCCTGCTCCTCTCCCTACCAAACAATGTGAAGGTAGGGTTATGCAGCTTTACCTAGGAGTTAAATGTTTCTACAATAATTCATAACTCTTAAGAGTCCTCCAGATTTACAAGATAACTTTACTCCTTCTTGGTGGAAGTTTGATCAATAATTCATTCCTGTAGATCTATGAAGGATTCTTTCTGTAGCCAGAAAGAACTGCATAATCAGAGCCATATTTTTATTTTAAAATATATTTCCCTAATTTCTCTCTTCCCATTCTCAAAATATCAACCGCAATTATGAAGGTATGTCTAACCTAGTGAATTTCCAGTAACGTTTAAATTTTTTTTTTGTCCCAGCACCTTGAATGGTAATTTACCCTTTAAAGTTGTGACTTGGACTCTACATTGGGTCTTGTGTGTTCCTTAATACTCTTCATTAGCCTTTGGAATAGAACAGTCACATGTTACAGTGGGCAAAATCATTGTGGGCATAGAGAAAGTCTATTTCTTCAAGGTTGTGAGTTCTTCAGACTATTATAGCCCTGTTTATCCTTGAATCTCTTGTTTCTAAAACTTTGAATTTGTCAGAAAGAAGTTAATATATAGCTAACTATAGCATTTTAGAAGAATAATAGCTCTGTGAATTACCAGGCCCCATACTTCCTGGCTCATTACTGATTTTAATACCTCTGGGAGGGTATTAAAGTTAAGAGGAACAGTAGAATTTGCATTAGCTAACATTTTGTCAGAGGTCTGATATATAGTTTATTGTAAAAATTAAATATATAGAGACCCAAATAAAAAAAAAATCTAGCCATGTTGTTCCCAAGCCTCCATTATGAGCAATATTTTAGTGTTAGTTG